TAGCCAGTGCACTGGTATTCTGAAGTGACATGTGCACATGCATACCTTAGTCATCCACAATTATCCACAACTAAATTATCAATTGGTTGTCTGGTTTTCAAAAGTGCTGAGAACCCAGCAGCAACTGTGGTCATCGGAGCCCATCTTTGGGCACCTGCTAGTCAAAATCTTGCTTCCGACTGCTTGAGCCATGTGTTTCTGTAGCGCTGGAGAATGAAGTGTTCAGAATTTGAGTTCTAAAAAGGACCCTAAACCAAGGCATCTGTTTGTTCTGTAGTAGTGCAAAGGGGCTTCAATGATTGAGTCTCTTGATCCATTTCTAAGCAAGCTAGATTAATGTAGTTTCCTTTAGGAGAATAATCTAACTCGCACTGGATTTTGCTAAGGACAAACTATCCATTAAAATCAAACGCAGCCACCAATATTTGTTTAGTCCTCCAAATGTAGGATGCTTTTGCAAGAAGATCTTTGAATTGTCAAGAGTGGTGAGGCAGTTTTTCATGAGAAGACACTTGTTCCATCAAATTGAATATAAGACAATTGTCATGCAGCAACAAGGGGCAGGCTACCAAGTGTGGAAAAAATTGGGACATTTCTGAATATTCCCCTACATGCGCTGTGGCTTTCTAAAAAGTCTTAATGTCAGTCAAAGATCTCCTTACAAACACTGTCCATATTTGAAATGTTGAGTGTCTAACTCCTCCATATTCTGTATTATAATGTATAATTGTGTAATATACATACGTTTACAATAAATTCTTTTATTAATTGTGATGAGGTTGTAACTTTCACCTGTCACCCAAATACTGTTGGTTTTTTCCCCCTAAATTGTTTTTTCCCCAACTGTTTTATGTGATATACGAGGTGCAATGATGTCTCCTGCAGAAGGACAAACTCCTTTGTCCCTGAAGCAAAACAGGGATTTTATCTTTTGTTGGCTCTGCACAAAATCTGGCTGTTCTTAAACTTGGCCAAAGCAAAAGTAAGTTTTTGCTTTTCAGTTTTTCTGTGGTGATGGTTTTGCTCTTTTGAAAGAGGAAGAAGCCAAGAACAGAGCAAAAAAGTTTAAACTGCTTTTGATGTCTGTGCAAACAGCAGACTTATTTATCTTTATTAATGAGTGAAAGTTGAATGAGAAGAGAAGAAATCAAAACTAGCTTTAAGCAGGTTTTTTTATCAGTTTTCTTTTAGGAACCGTACAAATACTCAGATCGTCTTGTAATTCTGAAGATGAGAGCCTTGTACTCTCTTGCAGAATACTGAAGTCCTGATTTTCATGTAGACTAGGCTTCTTCATATAAATGAGAATTGGGCCCTGGAAGACTGTTGGCAATAAATGGACAAAATTGTCAGGTTAGCTAAAGCCTCCCCATGTGGGTGTCAAACATCATCCTGCTGATTGACATACTTGCAAACATATTAACAAGACATGAACGCTCAGTTGTAGAAGGTGGAAGATGTAAAACACTTACCAGGTCTTTGTGCCTGTCATATTTTTCTAATTTTTCTATTATCACCCTCCCTTCCATCAAGGAAGGTCTTTCCAAACAGCTGATAGCAGGCTGCAGTCATATGGAATGCAGTTGAGGCTGCAAACCAATTTCCGGGATAATCTGGTGGGCACATGTTGTTTTCTGAAAAGCTCACCCTGAGATTTGAGGAAAATCCCATAAGCTGCCACAAGTTCTGCAGCTAAGTATTTTTCCTTTTTGAAAGCAACTCTTACTTGCCTTGCCTAGCACACACATGCTGCAGCCATGTACTGTACATAGTTCTGGCAGCCTTGCATCTGCATCACAGCTTGAGAAATGGATGGCTGCCTGTTGACAGTTATGATTGATTGAAAATCAGCTGGGAATACACAGGGTAGAACTGCACTAATCCTGAGATGCTTTGCTAGAATTTGCTGCTTCTGTTTGTGCACTCAGTTGGGAGTGGCACATTTTGTCTGTCTGCTTTAATGCAGCTCTCAATGGGTTAAGTGGGTTGCAGGTGGAGAGCCCCAGCCCTGCCCAGCCCCCCACACACAAACCCTAAAACCACCCAGTCACCTGTGTCTAGCTCCTCTGCCATGAGTGGAGTTTTGGGTGCAGGCAGCACAGGGGAGAGGGGTCCACAAATCCAGCTGGGTTTGGACTGGGACCCAGACCCCCTGGCATAGGGTCAGGCAGGAGCTGGAGTCCCTGGTTGGGGGCCAGGCAGGCACCCAGGATCTGTGAAGTGGGGGGGCAGGGTTCAGGAGAAGAGCACTACCTAAAACCCCAGTCCCCAGACCCACTCTCCCACCTGCTGTGGCATTCCCCAGTCCCATTTGGCAGGAGCATGGGCACAGACTGCAAGAGATGGTCACCTCAGCTAGCCCAGCCCTCTGCCAGACCAGAGTAGCAAAGGTACACCACTGTATGCTAATTGGGCTGTGGGTTGAGAACTCCTTTAGCCTGTCTGAGCCCTGCAGAAACAGGCCAAGGCAAAGACTTGGGCAGAGCAAATTCTATTCTAGACAGCCCTGTACTGATACAGCAAAAACTGAGCTGTGGCTGCAGCTACCTGTGGCTATAAAGCAGGTGGCTGCAAATGTGCCAGGCTCTCACTAGACTTTCCCACCCATTCCACTGGGCGAGGGGAAGAGAGGCTGCAGTAGGGTTATTCACCTAGTGGCATGGGCCACGTACACTTGGGCCCAGCATTCTGCAGGCCTTGAGTACGTCACTGACTATGAATTCTGGGGACCCCCTCTTCTGCTCACTGGCTGACTTCTCCCCTGCTGGCCAAATCTGCAGCTGAGCAGAGGAATAATCTGGACCTTAAATGGCTGATGTGAATGTGCTGCCTTATAGTAAATAAGATATGGTAGGCAGGGCCAGATTAAGGGGGAGGCTAGCCAGGCAGATGCCCAGGGGTCCAACCTATGGGGGGGTGCCTGATTGAAGTGGTAAAGGGCACCACATTAGGTTGCCACCTGGGGTGGGGCCACGGTGCCCTGTACATGTCAATCAGATGCCACGTGCCCACGGCCGCATGCCCACTGTGTAAGAATGGCTCAGGCTGGCCCTGATGGTGGGACTTTACCCCTCCTTTTTCACAGAAACTTGGTACACTAAGATGTAATGGTTTATAGTTACAATAAGAGCAGAAGTGAACTTGGACTTAACCTCTCAGTACATGATGGCTACATCTACACTGCAAGCATCTTGTGCAAAAGGTCTTCCACAAGAGCACATCCACACTGCCATGTGCTTTTGCGCAAGCGTGTCCATGGCAGTGTGGATGCTCTCTTGTGCAAGAAAGCTCTGCTGGCCAGTTTAGCCATAGGGCTTTCTTGGGCAAGAAATTCATGTTGCCTGTCTACACTGCCTTCTTGTGGAAGCGCTCTTGCGCAAAAGGGGCTTATTCCTTGTAGAGGAATAACTGTTCTGGAAGAAGCCCTGTTTTCTGATGCTGTACTGTAAATTTACTTGCGCAAGAATGCGTGTGTAGTGTAGACACTCTGCAAGTTTTTGTGCAAGAACAGCTGTTCTTGCACAAAAAGCCTGCAGTGTAGATGTAGCCATGTGTTATTTTCAGAGCTGTGGTGAATATTTGCAATAAAATAGTATCCATGGCCAATGTAGCCACAGGGGATGTTAAATTCTGCATCTTCTGATTTGAAACTGAACCCTTCATCTGCAACATTTGCATTAAAGCTAATTTTCAAGATACTCAACACTGACACACACAAAAAACTTTTTACTATTCCCACCCAGTGTTTGAAGTGCCCTATTCCTGGAGCTCATTCACCAGTAGTATACTGTGAGGTCTGAAATATCTAAAGCAACTGAATTACAGGGGAACATGTTACCTAAATATAATTGAACTTGAGTCTGGAGTAACCAGGGTGGGTTTTTAAAAATACATTTGGATTTACACCTTAAGTCTGAATATTGCTTACTAGAATTATAACTCATCCTTAGTGCTACTTCAGTGAGGTTGCTATTGGGTGATTTGCAAGGTAGTGATTTCATCCTTATCACTCACGGTAAATTGTTGTTTCGTTTCTCTTTGACAACTTCGGAGCAGTTCTAATCTGTGTGCAGGATTTTTTTTAATCTTTCCCACTGCAGCGTTCAAAGGTAGCGATGACACCCTGATTCCACTCCTCTCAAACAGTATCTTCACTGTTCTAGGCAGGCAGCTCAGTTCTGTTGCTTTGGACCTGTCTCTGTGTTGAGTGGCTTAGGACACAACCTAGTGAGTGACTTCTGGATCAGTGTGTGTGGAAGTACATACACATCTACAGCGAGAGAGTTATCACCTTTCTGTTGAAGGTAGTAGAGGTACAATACTATATTTTACATCAAAATTAAGATTAGAGAAAGAACCAGTAGCCAAAATACATTTTATTAAATTAACTTTCAGTCCATTTGATAAAATACAAGCTTCATATATCACCAGTTTGTTTACAACTGATTTTTTTAGAAATATAGTAAGTTAAGAAAAGAAACTGAGTAGGCATTGTTTTTTTTTCTAATAGTAAAATAGAAGAGTGAAATTGAGTGAACTGTTGAAATTGAACTGTTAAAAACTTTACAGATTAATCAAGCAGACACTACATTTTTCTTTAGAAACGTAACATGCAAACATTTAGTGCAGTTCAGAATATTTGTCAATTTTCAGAAAAAAATTCTCACCAATAAATAAATAATCAGTGTGTGTGTATATAGATATTTTGCAAGTACTAATGTTAGACACTGCAGATTCATCTAGCAGTAAGTCCTAACATACAATTTCCTGAACTTTCAGATTTATCTCCCATCCCAAAGAAACCACATCAGTGGGCATATTATCTTTACTTACAGTTGAGTTTTAGTGGGTCAATGGTACTAGCTTTAATGGAGGCAGTGCTATGAAATCCCTGCATAATGCAATGTGTCTTCTTGATAAATTTCAAATACAGTCCCCAGCCCCCAATTCAAGAATCGCT